CCTGCTGACATCTTTTGGCTGTAGACATATGTTTGTCAGAATTCCAAACACCTTATCTTAGCAATACCCACAACTTATATATATATTATTTCAATGTAAAATTGATATTTCATACTCCGGTCTTGAATCTATGGGGAGGAGTTTGCAAAACGAAATCAAAATTGTAGTCGGCTTTTTTTTTTTTTTTGGTTGAAAATAATCTATATATTTATCTCAAAGTGCATTATAATCCCTAAAAAATATAAATAAAAACTTGATTTAGCCCCCTCAATTTTTTTAAGAACTTATATATCTATTTCATCAAAATTACCTACTAACCTCCAACAAAAATATGAACACTTGATTTTATTCTCTAATAAATTATTGAGAAACATCAATTTATACAAAAAGTCCATAAAACTCATTACATTCTTGAAAAAAAATTAGAACTTAATACTCTTCAAATCCAAAATATTCTAACTATTTAAACGTGCTTTATGCTTTCTTAGAACACAAAAAAAAAAAAATAATAATAATAGCAGCCCTCAATCCACAATCGCCTTGTACATATTAGTCTAAAATTGGTAAAATTTCTTATTTCTTGATTTTTCTCACTAAACGTGATTTCATTTTCTATTTCCACAGGAATTTTATATTCGTCATTGTAGTTTTCTAGGAAATCTGTTCGAAACATTGAGGTTATACTCGGTAGAAGTCTAACTAATTCTTTTTTTAAATCTATAAGCAAGAGATATAAGAAATCCCTTCGCATGTTATCTACGGACCTATCAAAAGTTATTAAACTCCATTATTTTCTCAACTTTTTAAGGTCCTCTTCTAATTGAGTAGTTGAATACACATATTGATCTATTAGTGATAGCCTTAAACTATATTCTAGAAATTGTGTTCTACTTCTTTGTTTTAATTTAATAAATATGGGTGTGGTTTTATTTACCCATCAATGGGTATCATTGTTTTAACAATAAGATATTAATCCGACACTTATAATAAATTATATACTTGATTAAAAAAATTTATGACAATTAATAGAACTGAATTATTATTACACCACGTCATCTAATTTTTATATTTAGTGATAACTATCGATTGAAACGTACGTAACTATTGAAAGCTCGTCCAATAAATATTGATCGTTTTATTTTTCTAAACAAAAAGTATAACTTTTCCTCTTTTATTTAAGTTGATGAATGTAGGGTATAGATTTTCTTTTGATATGGAAAATGTTAAAGATTTTATAAGAAATAGTTAACTTTATACTTAGATTTTAGTAAGGACCAAATATATCTACATTTTATTAACTTTGATTTTTATCAAAAATGAGTAACACACTTAGTCAAATTTTTATTGTAACTATTAGTCTCCGATAAAATTTCCTCACTTCACTGACCGTTTATGAATTATAGTTTTTGAAAACAAAACGTTACTCGTGAAATAATTGAAAATAAAAGGGAGTGTTTTGCGATATGCCCTATGAAGTCATAGATTAATAGGCCCCAAACAAATATTTGATTTGTTTGTCATCATATTAAAGCTTTTTTAACACTCGTATTTTCATTTGGTTATTTTTTGAATGGTTAGATTTTTTTTAATAAAATTATTTTGGTAATTTATGTTAGGAAAATCTCACCGGTACTATTTATTTTTTAATAATATCAAAACGATATCTTTACCTTTAAAGAGACGTTATTTCGACACTCTGAGACTGATTTTTAAGACATACAATGTCCAAACTGTCATTTACATTAATTAAATAAAAATTAATAACTTTAAAAATTATTAATTTGTCATTATTTTTAAATGTTCTAAAGTATTTTTCAATTTTTTTTAAAAATAATTTGTTGTTAATTAGTAAAAAAAGGTAGAATAGACATTTATGTCCACAAAATTAGTCTCAAGGTACTAAAAGAACGTTTCTTAAAAGGTAAAGATGTTGTTTTAATATTATTAAAAAATACATGGTACCAGCAAGATGGTACCAACTACATGTAGGGCATGTTATTTTCATAACTCAAATCACAACTCAAACTTTTTCTATAGTATTTTCTCTCATAAAAATTTAAATTTAACTTTTATACTGTAGTATTTTCTCTCACATAAAATTTCCTTTACAATTCAAATTCTCTATTCAAGTTGTGAAAAGTACATACTTATATAACTTATGATCCCTATTATGGGCTTGCTTGGAAGAACTTTTTAGAACCTGCTTTTTGGCTTCCTGAGACTAAAAATTGCTTTTGTAAGTTTTAGATGCCTTATCACAAGTTCTTTAGTTCTCCAGAAAGCTTCTAGTGAAAACAACAAAATATGAAAAAAAAAACTTTTATGAATAAATTTTGAAACACGCATTTTTCAGAGTTTAAATAACACATTACAAACTTCATTATAATATTCTTTTTAATTATTAGAAAATTTAAAAATATTTTGACTCGTTTAAGCTCCTTTAAAAATATAATTTCAAACATTTATTATTAAACAGTCACAATTTTTACTCATTTTCTTCTAACTAACCAAAAAACAAAATAAAAGCAAAAGCTCTACAAATACAGATTATATATATATATATATATATATTATCTTTAGTTGTTATAAAACAAAACAAAATCTAAAATGCAGCATGAATAATTGAAAGTAGTTATTAAATTTCTTTTCATAATTGCACTTTTGGTCTCATAATTATGTCCAGTGTCTCATTTTGATCCCAAACATTAAATTGTTAAAAATTTCACCCTAAACTTTTAATGTTTGAAATTCAAGGGCAAACAGGAAACAAGGATCATAATTCCGAT